GTTTGGCCTTCATCAACGAAAGTCTCTCTTTCAGCTGTAAGTACAAAATAGACAACAGACATAAAAAGCATCATTAATGAAAAATAGGCTCCCAGTGGGAGCATGTGTCTATAATAATAAAGTATCCACATGGGATTTGGTTATCAGGATATGTGTGGTGTTTTATTTTTTTTTATGACTTACGGTACTTAAGATGACACATGACCCATCATGCACCTCCACCGGATTTACCCTTTCAGCCACGTACAGTATAATAATAATAATAATAACTAAAAATTGCAAATTGCAAGTGAAGTGCTGCGAAGTACAACTGCATATATGTTCTTCGAACAAAATTATTTATGCGAGTCAAGTGAAAATAATGAATAATAAAAATATAACAAATAATATGAGACACGACCCATTGTCTATATTAGAACACTTCTCATTGGGTAACAAAGTCGTAATTTTTCATTTTTGTCAAAAAGTGTCTGTGGTGAATTATGGTTTAGGTTTTTTTAGGTTAAAGTTTCAAAAAATGTCTATGTATGTGGAAAATGTAGTTGATTACCAAAGGTTACAATTTTTATTTTGAAGACTGCATGGTCTAGGAAGTGTACATTTTTTTTTTTTTGGGGCAAGTTTCCAAGGGCGTGTTTTCTAGGGGCGAGTTGACTGCCAAAGAGTGTTGCTAAAGTGCGAGCCAGCATGTTATTTGATCACAAGTGTGAGACATCGCAAGAGTGAGCCAGCGAGCCATGACGTCACGACAATAGATACAAGTAGTTACTCGATTGTGCGAGGTATCGGCTGAGATTTGTGGAGTACAATTCAAAAAACAACTATAGGTCTAATAATGAATTATTGTGATGTTAAATAGACAATGTTAGCTATCAAGGAGAGACGTTGTTTTTCATTGGGACCTTCGTTCCTTCAAGGCTAGGCCTATACCATCTTAGCTAGTCTGGGCCTAGCACGACATGCGGACGTTGGTACGTGTTGGTTGTCTACAAACGTCGCCTAAAGTAATTGATTTTACGCGGCAGAACGAAAGAAGGAAACTCCGCTTTTCAGTCGTCTTAGGCCCGTGTTTTTTGACAAACAATGACCTTTCAGAGGTCAAATTGCTGTCAAGAATATAAATTGGCTGCTTCGCAGCAATAATATGTTCTTATAGCGCTTCATGCACAAAGCCTCTAAGCGCTTCACATTACTACCCTGGTCATTGGATCAAACACACATGGAACACATACTGAATACCAAATTAAATGATTAAATTACATTATATTAATATTCCATAATATTGCAGCTAGTAATCAGCGCAGTTGTGTTGGAACCTACCAGGTACCCACTTGTACTCCTGGGTGGTGAGAGGCAACCGTAGATAAAGTGCCTTGCCCAAGGACACATGCGATTTGCACAGTGAGAGTTTCAAACCCCCAACCTCGAGGTTGGGAGTCCAAGCCGCAACCGATGCGCCAACCACTTCTGGTATCCTTAACTGCCAAACGACAACATAGTATCTTTGCCCCCGAGGGGGCAAAGGTATGAACTACATTAATTCTTGTGAATTGTAAAATAAGGAATATCAAAATATATGATGATTTAGGAAGTTAAACAACATGCATTGCCAACTGATTTGTAGATTTAGTAGTACAATCATACAAAACCCACCTCAGCTATTGACATCTCACTTAGTAATGCATGGCCGGCAGTACTTGTCCAATCAATGAACTTCTTAGTGTTCTTGGGCGCTGCTTCCATTGCTCGTATTTCCTGAACTAGGTCTAGCTTACGTTGCATTTCAATAGCTGCCTGTTGTAATAAACATAAAGGAAACATAAACAAATTTTCTACTAGTAATTTGAGAAACTTTCTTAAAAGTCTACACTCGCAATTGGTGTCCAGGGACCAGTGGTGCTGGCTTTTGGGGCGTAGTGTTTTGGTGGGTCCAGAAGCACAGCTCCGGCAAAACTCTTGCAATGATCAAGGGATTTGAAGGCATGTTTAATCAATTTTTATTAATCTTATTTTATAATCTAATAATGACAAGCCTAAAAACTATTTTCAGTAAATCATTTTTACAAGAAGTTTGCCATTTCTAGCCTTGGAGGGTGTTATATATCTAAAATTAAAAAATGTAATGATAACGAATAACAGACCGGTATAGAGTACCACAGTCATGTCGTAACGACGCCAGGCGGCGCTCTCTGTTGTCAACGGTTCATTACGCCTGAGTCACTGCATAGGCTTTCTGGAATAGGCATTTTAAAATCTAATATTTTACCATCAAAATGTACTAAAAACACAAAAGCTCCCATTATATTAGTTATCGCGAACACACATTTAATTATCAATTCAAATTTACAAGGAAAAAGTAAGATACAACATCTTAATAATTATGTTAGAAATTGGGATAAATCGTTTGTCAGTAAAGAAAATGGCATCCGGTTGAACGCTTTTTGCAACAATAGTAACGGAGTAGTATCACATGGTATCGTGACGTAACACTGTAGTACTCTACATGCATTATTAGTCGTGTGAATTTGTCTTCAGTTACAATTACATAGAGGTCTGAAGAAACTCTTGAGAGTATCACTAAACTATCAGCTTTTGTTGTTAAATAATTTTGGAAATATTCAGGACATTTCTCGGATTTTTTTCATAAATTGTCCCGAGCATGCAAGCATATAAATAAAAGCAAATATGAATACTGTTTTATCATACCTATGCCTATGCAAATGCCAGGAAATGCAGTTTAAAACATTATTTAGGAAAGAATGCTATGTCATACATGGTAGTAAACTTTATGAGGCCTGCACTAAGGAAAAAAGAAAATCTAAAGGATATTTTCATTTGTCTCCCTCCAATCACAATACAATTCTTGTGAACATACTGTGGCTTGGTAAATGTGAAATCATATGATCAGATTTGTCTTATCAACCGTGTTCACAAAACCTGGCAAAACCAAAGCTTACCTCTTCAAAAGCTTGTCTAAGTAACTCTCGACTCTCTTCACTCACTTCTTCAGCTATCGAAAATAAAGATAATTAAATAAAAGTGAAAACAAAAAATAACTGACACCGATTATAACACTAAAAAGAGACAAAAGAGATGAAAATAAAATATATTTAAAATACTTTCGATATTAAAATCTTGGGGGAAACTTTTAAAAATCAATTAAAAATTGTACTGCTTATTTATAGGATTAAATAATTTATCCACTCTTTGGGTCAGTTTTCAATGACTTACAGATGTTTTACTACAAAAATCACAATTATTTGCCACCCAAT